AAGAAAATCACTCCTTAAGTGTTTGATTTCTTCCAAAACTCCCAGATCTAAACGATTAAACAGGAAACAGATTCACACATTTTACAAATTTGTTGTTTTTGTCCTTTATTCTGCATCATTGTCACGAGAGAGAAACAGAAAATGCTTTATTATTTAGTGAATAATTGTAAAATATATATAAATGCACCAAAACTGAAATAAATATCTGTGGTTAATATCATCAGATCCGTTAAAAAATGACTGATATCATCTGACACTGATGTTAGTGCCGATAAATCTTTCATCACTAGTTGCTACATTTTGAGGAAGTTTCTGTGATTAAGAAATTAAAAAAATGTCAAAAAGGCAAAACTTTATGCATTAAAATATAATGTTTCAATTATTTTTGAAGAATCATTTTCCCAAAAAAATTTTGGTTTGAGTGTGATAAATATGACGGCATTTTAAGGCCATTATAGACAGAAAAAAACAACAAAAAAACAGTAAATTTCCTCCCCAAAAAATTTTTCTGAAAAAAAAAAATGGAAATTTTCTGAGTTCAGAAGTTGGAAATTTTCAAATTTTGGACATTTTCCGAGTTTCAAACATTGAAATCTTCTGACTTTTCGAGCTCAAGAGTTTCTTCTCAGACTGAACTCAATATGTTTGAGATTTTTCTCACTAATTTTCGACTTTTTGAGCTTTGAGAATCTCTACGTATTTCCAGAAAATGTCTAAGATTAATCTTAAAATTTCTCAGCTGTTTTTTCTCACGTTAGACTTTTGCAGCTCAGAGAATTTCCACATTTTTTTCCAAGAAAACTTCTGAGATTCAGCTCAAAATTTTTAAGATTTTTGGCAGAAATTTACTGCGTTTTATGGTTTTTTAATCTACTCCGGCTCTGGCACGCCGTCAGAGATGCAGGAAGGTTTCGTGAAAAAAGGAAACGTTTCGGTGTTACCTGCTCTTTACTCTCCAGAGTGCTGCGGAGCATGGCCATCTCCGCTCTCTGCTCCAGCAGCTCTTTATTCAGGCGGTCGACTTCCTGCTGCTGATGACTCGTCTGTTAGAGAATTAAGTCTTCAGTCCAAATCAACAGTTTTTTTGTGATCGATAATCTCAGCAGCAGCAGTCAGAGACGTTCTCACCACGTTTCTTTTCTCCAGTCTCAGGTTCTCCACTTCGCTCTCCAGCTGCTGCTTTGCTCTCAGCAAGTCGTCCTGCACGACCTTTGTACTCGACAGCATCTTAACTGTTTCTGCGTTCTGCAGCAGGACATAAAGAGATCCTGGGTCAGAACCGAAACACCAACAGCTGTGAGAGTAAAACCAAACGACGCCTTCAGTTTGACCTTCTTCATTAGGTCGGCGTGGCTCGTAACCAGCTCTGCGTGTCTCTCTTTGAGCTGCGTGAAGCGAACCTCAGCAGCCTGAGCTCTGCCTGTTCACAGATAAAAAGAAAAAGAAGAATTTTACTGACGTCCGACTGATTCCGTTTACAGTCTCAACACTAAAAGAAAAATCCGTCCACTCACTGTCCGCCTCTTTGTATCCGATCTGAGCTCCAACGTTGGCCACGTTAGCGCTGCGCAGAGCCTCCACTTCCATCCGCAGGTGTTCGTTTTCGACCAGGGCGACCTGTCTGTGGGAGCGCTGCTCCTGAAGCTCCGCCTCCAGACGGTTCACCTGAGACTTTAACTCTATCATAGATTTCTGAGCCTGAAGAAAACGGGGAAAAAAATCCTATTAAGCACCAGAAATGCAGGTAAGATGCAAAGTATTCACACACGTCATGCTACCGCCACACGTTTCTTTTTGTTTTACAAGAAGAGGAGGAGCAAGTTTGCAGGAAATAAACATAGAAGTTTTGAAATTAATCTTAGATATTTTCTAGAAAAACACAAGGGACATTCAGACTTTGAAAAGTCATAAATTGGCTTGAAAAAAAAGCTTGATTTTGACTCTGGGTTCTGGACTCCCAGTGCATGATGGGCCTCATCTCACCTCACTCTTGATAAGCTCTATCTCCGGTTTCAGCGCCTCCAGCTCCCTCTTGTAGCTGTTGCTGTTGGTGTCTCTGTAGTCCAGAGACGCCTCCGGTCCTCCCATCTGGCTGACCAAATAGTACTGCTGGAAAAAGAGACACATTTTAGCGCGGGTTACGGGAAAACGTGTTCTTTCAACTCGCACAGAAGCGTCAAACCTGTGACGTCTGAGGCGTTTCTCTGAGCTCTGGCTGCGTTTCCACTTCGTCCTCCTCTGGACGATCCTCGCCAGGTATCAGCACCACTGGCTTTTTGTACTCAGCCAGGGCAGCGGCTCGCAGGAAGTTTGGAGGACCCTGTGGAGAGGGGATCAACAGGTTACTGACCGAAAACCTGATAAATGAAACAGTTTTAAGGAGGGGTGCACCGATGAATCAGCCCTGATTTCCTTAGTTTTGGATGTTGGCTATCGAACAAGACTCACCTGTGAAACCAGTCTTATCTACATATGCAAAGGTAAGACCACCAGGTCACTATTGCTCGGCTAGCAACAGTCACCCCATTGGTACCGACTTAGCAACTTTTCAGACAAAAGTAGTTGGTACAGGCCAAAATTGGAACTAGGATGTCAGGTTTTTTTAAATATCAGTGGTCGTCCAGAAAACTTCAATCGGTGCAACGCTGTTCATCTCCACTTACATCTGGGAGGTCTGGGATCTGGATGATGCTCTTAAAGAACTCAATTTCTCTGGCTCTGTTGAAGAACTGGGTGAGGCTGCAAAATCAAACAAGAAAACAAGTAAATACAAAAAACAGTGCTGCCTGTTTCATTACATAATGATTAATGAACAGATGTAGTCGTCCTGACCGACCTCGTGAAAAGGTCACGGAATCTCTCTCTGTGTCCGAGGAGCACATCCGCAGAGATGCCTGGGAATATTTTTGGATACGGTTAGAGCTGAACGTGATTCTGCAGAGGTTGCCAAGGTAACAACGAAAGGCGGACCACTCACAGCTGTGCAGCTTGAACAGCAGCCGGACAGAGAAGTGGTAGAGGTAGCTGCAGTCCAGGATGAGCGGGATGAGGGGCGTCAGCCTGCACTGACCAGCCGGGGTCGTGGATTTGGCCCCGTTGGCGTCCATCTGACGGAGAACTTTAAACGCAACATGTCAGTTTCAGTGACATAAAGTGAACCTGTGTTTTAGGTTCTTATGGACACATGTTAGATCCTTCGCTTTATCTAACCAATACGTGCCACGTTTTCTCATATGAACGGACTGAATGTGGAAATCTCACCCGTCTCGGCCATCTTCAGTCCAGCATCCAAGTAATCCAGCAGCTCCTGAGTCATATCCAGCCTACAACGCCATAAATACATAAAGACATGATGATGGCAGGAATTCAAAGTGCTTTTAAAGAAATAAAAGAACATATAACAAAATATTAGGCAGGCTCTATTGTCATTCAGTTGCACATATTGAGCAAAACTTTGTTGCAATAATGGCAAATAAATTAAATAATAAAAAAAAACTATAAAGACTGAGGAAAAAAATATCCTCCAAAGACAATAAAATAGTTGTGACACAAGCTGATCCCACAGCAGAGGACAGGAAGAAGGAAACTTACACTTTGGTCATGTCGGTTCCTGCTTCTCTCTCCAGGGTGTCGTCAGAGGCCTCCAGGTTACCTGGAATCACCTTGTGCTGTTGAACAACGTCACATGTCACACGGCATGCTTCTTAATCCGTTTTTAATTTGTTAAAGGGACGGTTCATATTCCAGGCACATAGTATACTTTTATACCAGAATCAAGTAACTATGTTGCTATAAAAATGATGTATATTTGTCAAATATGACTTAAAAGAAATTTGATTTTGTAATTTGACGCCTTGAAATTCTGTTTTTTTAAGAAACTCTTATTCTTTCCGACACTGGGCCTTCAGGAAGTCATCACAACATTCCCCCATTAAGCCTTTAACAACGTTCTTAGAAGCGTTTCACTGAGACGGAGCTTGTACGATAAGCTCAGCAGACTCCCAGTTCCACCAGCTGCTGCCGCTAGTCTGAAGGAGCCGAGTGGTGGAGGAGCCAGGAAAGGGGCTTTCTCTGGACTTTTAATCTAGCAGAATAAGATCATTCACATTGTGGAGTAATATATGATCTATACTGACATGACATGTCATAAACATTACATTTGGAGACGGTGTAGCAATCTAAGGATCATCAGCTCCAGGATAAAATATTATTTTCGGCTCAGTTTACCGTCAGGATCTGATAAAGACATTGTGCTAAGTGTAAGGTGTTTATTCTTCTGCTGAATTGTGTAAAACGCAAAACTCCAGACACATTTAATTTAATTTCCCTCTGGAATTAATAATAAAATATTTGATTTTATCTTAAGAGTACTTTATGTTTAGGTTTTGTCCTTTCACACTGCTGTCTTCTCTTTTCAAGCATAAACAGATGATAAGCACAGACAAACACTCTCACTGTGAATAGCAGATCATTGACAGAATGAAGATATATCACCTTTGCATGAAACTCCATTTTGAGGTGGAGAAATTTAGCAGACAAGGCAACAATGTGACCATATCGATCGTGCAGGTTTCCCTGGGAAAACACAGAGTGGGTTACAAGTTTAGCAGCTTATTTGAACCTGGTAGTTTTTCTTAAAAACAATCCACTGATTAACTTTTCATTAAGCGCATGTTGGGATTTTGTTAAATTTGCTGACTGCGCTGCATTTCAAAGGGTCTTTTGAATTTTCTGTGTGATTAAACGTGCAGATTAAATGCATCAGACTATAAGCTTGTATCTTATATCCACTGACTCACCCACAGGACTCCCATGTCTCTTATGCTGCGGCTGTGTCTGTGAGAATCTGTAATGACCTGCAGGTCGGGGAAAAAAAAGACAAACGAGGTTAAATGTAATGAATGTAAACAGGAAGTTACGCTGAGCAAATGTAGAGATTAACTCACATTTCTGTGTCCCTCTCTGAGCACTTTGTGCAGCAGGTAGCAGACCTTCCAGCTGACCAGGGATTGGCTGGACAGAGGCAGGTTGGGGACGTATGACCAGAAGGTGGTGGCTCCGCCCTCTTTGTGAGTTCCCAGAATTATATCTGTACAGATGTTAGGGAAACTCCCAATGCACAAGATGCCTATGATATTCATATCAGAGCATATCTATTACTTTTAGATCTACGTAAACAAAGCCACATAGATCTGCAAACCTTTTACAGGCTTTCAAGGTTATAAGTCGTAATAATTTAGGTGATTTCCCTTTAAGTAACCCCACAAAGTGACATTTTTTGTCATCATTTTGTACCGTCTCAGCAGCAATGAAGCTTAGAATGTCTGATATTGCAAAACAGAGAGGTGTTTTTAAAAACTGAACTGTTTTTGAAATATAATTTACAAAAAGTTTGTATTTATGAGTTTTAAATGCACAATATACTCAAATTTGCACATTCAGCTCTGATATTAAAAAAATAAAGCTATTACTCCAATTGAACATGTTTAAAATGACTGATATTCATATTCACAATGACATTATCCAAGCATCTAATAAGAACTGTTTAAGCACTGTGCTGTAACAAAAAAAAATATTTTTTCCTCCTAACAAACTGAAGGTTTTAACACCTTGCCAGACATAAAAAGAAAGTTTAAACTTTGACCGCAGAAAATCCTAGAATCCAGAAAGCAAAACTAAAATTTCTGCTTTCCAGCAAGAAGCCATCATTTTACACCAAAAAGCTGCTAGCTTTATCTTAGCATGCTAGAAGTACAGTGCTAAACTGTTTACAGCTTTCCTTATTAAAGAAATTTCCCATTTACTAGATTAAAAGTCAGCATATTATTATTTTTTAAGTATAGTTTTAAAGGATACTACGAACATATTTCTCTTTAGGTGGAACTTCAGCTGTGTTGGCAATTTTGCTGAGGCTCTGGAGCTGAAAGAAATGAAAACAGAGAAGAACTTAAAGCCTGAAAAGTTAAACTGATCAGAACAATATTACAAAAGATCTCAGTTATCTTCTGTTCTTTACTCAGTGTAACCTTTGAAAAATATTCTGAATTATTTTTACATGCTGAAGACTCTATTGGTGCAGCAGTTCTGGATGAAAGCTAGTTCTTTTTCACAGAGATGAAGCTAACGGCTAATCAAAGGGGGCTAAGATAAAAGTGGACATTAGGAAAACTAAGTTGTTGTATTTCACAGTGGTCCATGAAAATGCTATTTTAGAAACCTTTAAAACACCATCACATTTGTTTTTGTCATTTATTTTTAATTAAAGTTGTGATTATTTAAATAGAAGGCTGTGTTTGTCCATGACTGGAAACAATAACCTTCTAATGTGAAACACCAATTGAAAACCCCCCAGCTATGTTATGTATATCTGACTGGAATGACTGTGAGGGAAATGTATGTAAAAGAACAAAAAACAATAAAATATGTTATTTTATATTAAGATTTAGTCAGTATAGCTTCATTCACTCAATTAGTTTGAAATGTGAAGGTCAATGATGGACACACTGGACCAACTTCGTCATCTAATCGAAATAATCACATTTCCATTTAAATTACAATCTAACACTTGATGGTTTATTTAAAAAGTTCTGATATGAACAACTAAGACATTTTAAAAGCTGTACTTTTTAGCATGGCATAAATTTGCTTTTATTCTGACTAGCCGTTAGCTTTGGCCTGCAGGAAAAACAAGTCTATTTTTATAAAATGTAAGATATGTAACATATTAAAGCTAAAATGTTAATAACCACTTATAACCACTCAATAGAACCCAATTAAAAAAAACCTGAACCAGCTTATAATGAATCAAAGTGAGACATTTCATGTTTGAAGTTATGTTAAAGTTTAGCTGTAGGACATACATTCTGATTGAACATTACTTTTCAACCAAAGAATATTGTGGCACCAAGCTGAAGTCAAACCATATTTTGGGAAAATAAAATTAAACAAAGAGAAAATTCCTCTTTTGAGAAGCAATTTTAATTCTCACCTGCTGTTTGCCAAACTGTTGTTTCTCAGCAGCCAGGGCCTTCTCCGTTTTGTCGTCATTTTTGTTCTTTGGTTTACTCATTTTGTCAGATAAATAAACCCAAGGCGACTACACTTCTACGTCCAGAGATCCTCACAGACAGAAAACAACTGAAGGTACGTCAGGTCACCAGATCATTCCTGTTGAACTTGATTTTTACTTGTTCCAAATGACATGGAAAGATTTCAAAATAAAACCTTAAAAGTGGAGAAAAAATGTCTTCAGAGCACAAACAACCACACGTTAAAAGTAGATAAGTTAAATAACAACAGGGAACATGAAATGTAAAAGATAAATCTTTATATATATATACACGTATATATATATATATAAAAAAGCAGTGTGAGATCATCCAGGTAACAAGACGTAAAAGCAAGAGAGAGCTTTAGATATTTCCTGTGAGTCACCATGTGAAGGCAGTGGAACTGGAAAGACTCATCAGCCCTGCAGGACTGGTTTCAGTTCACCCCACTTTACACAACACATTATGTAAAAACGACTCATGGTTAAAAGAAATGCTGGGTAAATCAGATTAACAATAGATTATAAAAATGTACAAAATACTCAAAATATAAGATAAAAAACATTGAGGCCATTTAATTTATTTTTTCCTGAGGTAAAAACAGAGTCTGTTCTTTATCAGAAACAATAACACTGTGTTTTATTCGCTGCTCTGATTGCAGAAGTTGAAAGTTCATGATTTATAGAGGAAACCCAGTCTTTGGTCAAACCCGGCCGTCTCGCTGGCTGACATTGTGCTTCAGGCAGGCTTTGGGTGGAGCGTCACTCGCCTGGAGGGGAAAACGAAGCGGTTTTATCTTTACACGCCCAGACTTGGAGGAGCTTTTACGCCATCCAGGTTGCCACGCCCTCTCTGTACCTTGGGTATGGTGGTGTTCGGGTGGTGGTGGGCTGTGTGTGGCTGAGCGGTCTCACAGTTGGAATTACAACCTGTGGAGGCGTGACGTCTCAAGCTGCTGGTGCTTTCAGGAGCTCCTGGAAGCAACCTGGAGATGCCCAGCGGCTGCTGTAGAGAACATGCCGACAGCTGATCGGCAACCTGATGAGGCGCGGACAGGAGACTCGGTCGTTAGAACGCATAAAGCTCCAGAGAAGTGCTTTGTATGTTATATGTTCAGTTTAAATCCCCTGAACATTTTGATCTTTCACCAGCTTCTCAGTCCCTGTTGAAGAAAAGCATGATACTGCCACCACCATGTCTCTCAGTGAGGATGGTTTGGTTGCAATGATAGTTTCCCATAAGAAAGTATCGATATGATGATCTGATATAAATATCACCGCTTTGGCTATTTACTGTTATTTACCAATATTATATATTTCCGTATATTTTTCACTATCCTTTTGACTAGGGGTACACCGACTGCGGTTTTCTTGCAGATCGCTGATTACCAATCTTTAAAAAGCCTGACCTGCCGATACTGAAATGACAAATATTACTGACAGAAGTATCAGTAATAATCGTTTTCCTCGTCGTTGCATTGGAAATTAACAGCTTTTTTCTTTACATAGTTTTCCACAAATAAGCATCCCATAGATGAAAATGTATGTTTGATTTTTGTAAATGTTTTGTTCTTCTCTATTAAAAAAAAGAAAAGAAAAAAATAGATAAAGCTGTGGCTCATTTAAAATTACTATAATTTTCCTATAGTAGATTTTTTTTTTTTTTTTAACAAAAGATTATGTAAGTTTGCAATTCTAGACCAGCGTTTTATGCAGCCAGACTGAAAGCAAAAACGGTTCTCTAGTTTTAAAAAAGTTAATGACCCCTGCGTCTTAAAGGTGGAGCTAGGTCCACCCAGGCG